GCGCCACCTACTTCATTGTCCCTCCCGGTCTCTGGCTGTACCCCAACCTCTGGGAGGATGTCTCATTCATGGACAGCTTCAGGCCCGTCTGGGCATGGCACGAGGTAAGCCGATCCCCCCATCGTAGTTGCTCCGAGAGCTTGAGATATACTAACCACCACTCAATTAGACCGAGAAGCCCAAGAAAAAGAAGAAGTCCAAGGCCGTCAAGGGAGCCACCAACGCCTCCGTTGCCGCCGCCACAGGCCAGGTCTCACCAGCCACCGCACAGACAACTGGCACCGACACGCAGGTCAGCACCGAGGGTGTCCACCAGCGTCAGTACGTAGCACCCAAGGTCGAGGAGCTTGGCGATGACGAGTAAAAGAAAAAATGGGTTGTTGGGAGCGGATGAAGCGGACGTCCCGGTGTCGGCGTTGGAATGGTTGTCTTCGGGAATATACAAACGGGAAACCACTAGTTTTTCCTCCCTGGTTTTCTTTACTTTTTCCCTTTTCCCTTTTACCTTGTTTTCCCTCTTCTCTTTTCTCTCTTCTTCATCTGTGTTCTTTACCCCTATCCTCTTTTGGTGACCTCTGGTGGACTGTCAGCATTAAAACTGTGCCGTAAACAAAATTACAAGCATTGGGATCAGATCATTGAGAAAAAGGAAAAAAAAAGTGATATTTTTTTGAGCCAAACTAGTACATAAACCTCGTGACGCCACTTTGCCCAGTCCCAAGGCTCTGGTCATTTCTCGGGAAACTCCATCCCCAGCTAACACGTGTGGCTTTTCATAGGCTCTCTGCCCGGTTGCGGCTAGCCTTGCGTTGGTACAGCCAATATGGTTCGATTTTAATCTACACGTCAATTACGATCTCTGATCTGTACGTTCTCACCGTCCGAGCGAACACGCTACGGCCTCGCAAGCTTGCCCAAGTTATCCCGCATGGTTGGCGGTCTCGACCCAATGGCCCTGCCGCCAAAGACGGCGAGGCTTGCGGCAGCACAAATGAGATATTACCGGTGAGGTGGTCGAGGGCTGGGGGAGCACATGCTTGTTCGGCTGGCCCTCGATTTACGTCAATCTTGGGGACCGCCACAGCTGATGGCGAACGGTGGCTTGCCGAAACGGTTGCTCGGGCCCGGGTCAGATACTAAAGAGAAGCGTTAGAGACGGTGCTGGGACCTTAATCCGGACGCCGTTGAGCGGGATGGTATGATGGCGACAGACGGTTCGTGTCAGTGTTTCAAAACAGGCCCATGGCCGCTGGGAAACCGGCGGCTTAGGATGACGCGAAAGCAGTGTCAAGTGGAATCCGATCGGAAGGACAGGGGAATTGCCGAAACAAGCGAGCGATAGGGAGCACTAAACGGGCCCTAAAGCAGGTGACTGCGAACTCAAACACGCTCGGTCAGGAACGTGGAGAAGCGCGAGGCGGGCTCGAGTCCAGATGGGCAAGTTGCCCGTCCTCCCTAGCGACAACGGGGCTCACGTCGGCCTTTCCGTTAGGTCCTGTCGATACGCTCACCACCCACCCTCACCGGAGTCGTCGGACGGCCCTGGGGTGCCATTGGCGGTGCTAGTTACAGTCTTGCAAAGTGGCTTGAGGCATATTGGGGGCTATCCTCGTGGTTAATTCTCTTAGTGCCGGTTCTTATCCCCTTTTCATTAGTTCATCCGGTGGAACCTCTCCGCCACAGCAACGATCGGTACTAGTGAAAGGAGGATCACGGCTAACTTCAAGTCTGGGCTTGGATGCTGGCTTCCGTACACACCCACAATCATTGGCGTGTGCCAGCCGCATCTACACCAAGTTATAGATGCATCTGGGGATGAGGGAAATAGGGGGGCGGAAGAATTGCTTATAACGCTGCTGATATGCTTGGAAGTAATCCTGATTCATCTCAAGCTGAGGAGCACCTAACTTATTTTGGAAATGTTCTCATCTCGCGTATCGATTCTTCATCTTGGTGTTTCATACAATATACCCAAGGGTTTTCTGGTATGGGTTCTCCTCCAGGCTGGATTGGTGGGTTGGGGCTACGAATCGGCTCCAGGTTGGTGTGGAAATCGGGCCTGCTTTGAGGAACCAGTGGCCATGCTACGTTGAAGGTGGCCAGAACTGACTGTGGAGCTGGTTTGGATGCCACCGAAGTGGGCTTTAGCTTGCCTCCTCATCTGCCACTGTTGTAAGTTCGACCCTGTATGTGTGCTGGAGACTGTGGGCTGCCCAGGATTGGACAGTCTCGGTGAGTAGCTGCCGTTTCAACACGGTTGACTACCGCGATGGATGAACTAGTTCTTCGTCCCAAGTCGCGAATTGTGTATCCCTGAGCTTCTTGGATCCACCTATGTGCTACTTCTCTGCTTATACCAGTGGCCTCTCGGTATGAAAGGCTGGACTGTGATGGTTTCCAAAGAACGATTGCTGGACCACAAGCTGAAATCTATCGTAAGCGATGTCCAAGCAGAGATCAGCGGTCGTGAACCTGGTCAAGAAGACCGAAGCGACACACCGTTCATTTCATGAACTAGCTTGCTCATGGGTTTCTCAACACAGGCCAGATCGGCAGCCTGTGGTGTTTGGGTGTGTTTTGGGAGATGTCATCAGGAGCAACATAAAGAAAGGGGTGTGATCACTCACTCCCATCTTCGCTCTTCCTCCGATGTTTATCCTTGAAAAAGCAGTGTGTTCAGGCCAGAACCCTGGCATCGTTAGTGGGCTCATAGAGATAACATCGTATGGTCGTTCAAGAAGATGAAGATTATAATCTTGGGTATGTTAGGTGAGTCACGCCAGATTAGCAACTATGAAGCCCATGCGAGCCTCTGCAGGGACCTTTGTGATGGTTTGCTCTTGGGGTTCTCTGAAAGGGGGTAAGGCGACTTCAGGTATGTGTCAGGTTATTGTCTGGAAAGCATGAGGCCTAGTATGCTTCTGGAGCTTGAGACGAATGGAGGAAACGAGGTCTGGCCTACCAACTGGCCGCTCCCTCAACAGTTTGTCCGTCCTTTTCACTTGCCACCGATGATGGTTACCCTGCAATTAGTGCTTTGTCCCCTCGACTTCCCCATTTGTTATTGCTTTTTCTGCCCTATGGGTTTGGGTTCAAAGCGCTGGCCAAGCTCGGCTCGGCCCCGAAAGGAATGTAACGATGAGCAACGGGTCGTGACATCTAAGTTCCCGAATAGAAAAAAGCAAAAAATTGTCCATTCATTGATTAACCAATCGGCCCCTTCACTTCGTAGCCTTGCTGTCGCTCTGGTCTGTAACATCCTCAAAGGTTGGTGAACGTCCATTCTAGGTTACTGTATATTGGTTGGATGCATTGCATCGATCCTTGTACGGAGCCTGGCACGAGATCTGGGATCTAGCGAAATATTCAACCTTGCAGGCCATCTCATGGTGTTCGCAGAGATCTCCTCGATCTGCCAAAAGCAAAACGAATTAGGTGAACCATGCAATCAAAGTTATATGAGGGAGGGTCTCGATCCTTCCTGCGAACAGGTTTTTCTTACCGCCACTCATGTACGCTTAGATTACAAATTCCCCTTTTCTTGATATTTTGCAGTCTGCGTGGTTCTTACCTTCCACAACGTTTGGAGGTTGCCTAGAGCCATAAATATCCTGACCTGCTATATCTGATCATGGAGATGGAGAGAGCAGGTCCTTCCTCCAGCTAGGACGAGCACCTGGACTGAGCTGCACACCGGGCCGGGATCAGGCTGTCATGAAAGTAGCGTAGTGTCACTTGAGCTGGCTGACAAGCAGAGCTGAACGGAATTTGAAATTAGGCGCGGGGAACCCCCCGCCAGTCGATGTCGCGGAAGATCCCCTGGCTGGGCCTTGCAGCGGATCTGCTTTAGCACCCACGCTTGACTGGCTGTATCTGACCCCTGCTCAGCTTAGCAGTAGGGGTGTTGTTAGCATTTGGCTGGTAACTTACCCAAGTCTCTTGATGCTACCGCTTCGCTAGCTGCCCTGGGCATAGTTTCACTTGTTGGTCTTGAGGCTGCCAACGTTGAACGGAGAGCAAAGCTGTCGTTAATGCCGCCGCTTTCCCCACCTTCTCTGTTTTTCCCATCCCCTCCAAAAATAAGCCTTGCTAGCAAGCATCCCTTGTCTCAGCTCTGGTGGTGCGGCGTTGCCAGCTCTTGTTGTTGCCTGACCACATATAAACAAAAGCTACGGATTGCTTGCTTTGATTAGATCGACGACAGGCCATTGGATAGCAGCTTCAGACCAATCTCGTTATTCCTTGCGAGGTGTTGGGCGCCGTTCATTGCGTGCTAGGCCATCTGCCTGGAATCACCCTGCGTATTTTGGCAGTCTTTGGCAGCTAGCCCTAAGCCGAGGCGCAGATGTCAAGGTCCACAAGAGAAACGGATGACAGTCCAAGGTGGGAATCTTGCCCATGAAACTGGTTGGGAATATTGAGATCGGTGCCGTGCTAAGTGATGGTAGATTGCCAGCTCATCATCTTTGCAAAGATCCTTGGTAAATCGGACTTAACATCAAACCGCTTTCCAAGCACCAGACGCACCCGGAGGAGAAAGGCCGACCCGATGCAACCACGATATGCATGTACCCTGCATGGTTGAGGCGAAAATTGGTATCTGTGCACATGGCTTGATTGTGACCAGTCAGAAATATAACCGACCATGGCGCGGACCCATGCGTCGGATGCTTTCTTGCGCCACAATGCAGTCGACGAGGTGATTCTCTGGTTGCTTTCCGGCGGTGATTTGCCCAAGCACACACGAACTTGCGCGCGGGTCAGTGTCTCGACTGGGTTTTCTCCTCAAAGACTGCCTGCAAGAGCTGAAGCACCCAAGAGCAATTCCGCACTCACCAGGCCAGTCATGCACTAGCGCTGGTGGCTAGCTGGCGGCGGAAGCTATGGTCATTTTAAATCAAGATGTGAATCCTATAGCCAGACGCTATCGAGAACGTCACTCGTCCACCCAGGCTGCTGGAGATTCAAGGTTGCAACCCGCACACCAGGCCCGAATCCCATCACGCCTCGATCCCAACGGAGTGGGCGACTGGACCCATACCTTGTACCTCGAACCGGCCATGGGTGTACGATTGGACGACGCCAGTGGGGCGGTTGAATTTCGAGTCACACAGCCCGAGACAATGTTGACCTAGTGTCGACTTTGAGTCAAGATGAATCCCACGGAATGGCTCCGGTGTATCCGCGCCCTTGCTGGAAGCTATCCTCTTTTGCGCTATCGATGGAGTTGAGTCCTTTGCGCCTGGATTCCCATCGAGGAGGAATCGATGGGCAATCTGGGCTGGGATGCTGGATAGCAGCGCCTGCGGTCGAGCCGCTTTGATCAGATCATCAAAGCGCGTCCCATCTCCACAATCTCTCTGGTCGATGGACCGCGGGTCCTTGCCTTCGCTCGGTCCACACTCCGAACCTAGAAACGGCACTCGGAGAATGTTGAGCATGAAAACCCCCGCTGCCATGCGGTATTGGAAACCACGGTCTTCCCTGCTCGCCCCTGGCTGAAAGGAGGTGGAGCATTGGTTCTGCCCAGCTTACCTGCGTAAGGAGCGAGCTGTCCAATATTGTCTTGCATTGGCGAAAGCGCTTTGTACGCTGACGCAATGAGCAGTCTCCTCATACGTGGGCATGGACAGACGAGTCGTACATCACGGTGTGGCTCGGTGACCCGGTTTTCGATGAACAGAGTTAGATTCGTGCAGTTTCGTTTCTGGGCAGTTCTTTCACCGGAACTACTTTCTCACGCTCCCTCCTGCAATTGTAGCAGATGGCTGATGCCTGGTTGTTCTAACCCTTCTCCGTGGGAGTGGTCAGAGCGGTACCTGCCTTTGGTGCTAACTAAGACAAATCCCCAGACCCCCCCACCACCATCATGAGAGCACCGTGCGCTAGTTTCTCGTGTGCCTGCCTATGATCGGGCTGAAGTAATGAAGTCGGTGGATTGGTGTACACACCTAAAGCGCGGTACTACTCCGTACCTGCCGTCCAGACCAGCGCCCCAAAGCCACACGCGCATACATACGATGAAGGGTACGTAACAGACATGCACGCGTGCATACATACCCTCCTGCCCCAGCCAGCATATGCTTGGCTAGGCTAAACTACAGGCCACTACTTCAGACTACGTGTTGCTCGAGAGATAATGCAAGAACTTTGGTGGACGATGACATGCCTTCAGCTCTCTATTTGTGCGCCCTTCATGCGTGGCTGCAAGCTCGTGTCGGGCATAATGTACGCACGCAGGGAGCTAGGCAAGTACCTCGATCTCAGCATGCGAGTACTCCGGCCGCAGGTTTCTCCGGACTGGCATCTCCCGTTGTCTGTCAAAAAATAGGCAGATGGGGGCAACGGAAAGAACGATGCGGCAAGCGCTAGGCAGAGAGTCTCGAGAGAGGCAGGTGCCCGATCCGCGGATGGCTCCTGCCTGCTAGTCTGCTGGAGGTTCTGAGGGCGTACGAGTAAGTGCTGCAGCCAAAACTTCATTGGGTGCTGGGGTTTGGGCTAAGGTGAGAAGTGACTTATCAACCGGGCTAAACGAATTGAGTGTTACGGGTCACCCCTCCCGAGATGGATCTGCAGCTTTACTGCAAGATCAACTTGCCTCTCCCATTCCGCCCCGTTCTTCTCGAAAGCTGTCTCTCTCCTGCAGGCAGTGTCGCATCCTGAGGCCGCCACTGGGGCCCGTACAGCCTGCGGAAGGGCTAGAGTGTGTCAGTTTTCAGTTTCGCTTGCCGTCTCGTATGGCCTAGAGACGCGGGTTTCTAAGCGAGCTGTTGCAGCAAAAGACATTGGCAGCCGTCTATCTCCACCCGCTTGTAACATGTTGCTGGGAAAGCATGTCGAGGGAATTAACCCCGGGGCTTGCGCCATGGCCACCCTCCAGTCTGTCCTCCTAGGCAGAGACGGGAAGTCGCCCTCCGCCACCACAGCACCGATGAGACTATCTAATTTTTCCTGTCAATGTTGATGTGGAGGACGCTGATGCAGGCGCATGGTTTCCGCTGTTCCAGCTCTGCCACACGCAACACGGTACGAGCCTGAGCGGGTTCAATAGCCCAGGGTCAAGCCGCTAGTTGGTCCAACTGGATCTCTGCCAGGGTGGATGCCCGCTTGACTTCGCAGCAGGCACATTACTCGCAACCTCGAGACCACCAGCCAATGGCCGATCACTATCACGACCTCTGTTACTTCGGGGCTTTGGACCCCTTCATTGGTCTTAGTCGCCGAGCCTTGGGCCTGTCCCCAGTAGGCAGCTTAACCGGAGACGGCCATGACAACGGTGACACCTATCAGTGAATCACATACTGCATCCACTGGACAAGGCTTGCTAGCCTGCCCATGGGTCCAGCTCATGTTGCTCAACCACGCATGCTTCATGGGGTCCGAGGGTGTCCATGCTGAGATCAGCCTGGACGTGTATATAGTGAAATGGATGGCCACGCTAGATGTGCAGCTCCGGACAGTAGCCATGCCGTATGACCCTACAGTACCAGACTCCCTCACCGATCGAGACCCTTGAGCCCATTCTGTGGCTAACTCTTAAGGAGCCAAAGAAGAAAAGAGCTGGTCGGGTCATCTGCACCTTTCCATTGGCTATAAGAGCTGTGAGTCCGCTGCGGCGTCGTTGTCCCCTCCCGAGGAGAGGTCCAACCGTTTCCTGATATGATGGCCGCCCCAGCCAGCCTTTCTCCCCACAGGCCAGACAAAGAGTATTCTTTTCTTGAAGCTCTCAACATCGGGCCTACAAGCGAGCTGTCCCTCGTATCCCAAGAGAAACTTGGCCTTTCGCCAACTCCCAAATCTCCTGCTAAGACCGTGAGGTCACCACCTCTACCTCCTTTGCCCTCCAATCCCAACCCCAGTCCCGTTGGGTCGGATTTCAACGTTACCACACCGACCAAATCGGACTTTGCCAGCCCCAAGCAAAATCTGGCGACCCCTCGGCCAACCGGGCATCACTCTTTGTTCCCCCATACTAATACTCACGGCAAGACCGTCGACGAAGCCAAAGGCGCCAACACCAGTAAAGGCGACAGTACCAGCAAAGGCGACAGCACTAGCAAAGGCGCAAGTACCGGCAACAGTGTTAAGCCTATCACAGAGACTGCTGCTATGGCTCCTTCCATCAAGGCTCAGGCGCAATGCCTCGAGTCCTGCAGCAAAGTCACCAAGGCCGGTGACCGAATTTCGGTTCGAATGCTCGAGTACCTTACATCGATTAAGCAGACTCACATGCCCCATGGGCTCGACGATCTTGCCCACGGTTTCCTCTCGACATGCCAAGTTCTTCTAACCATCGAGGCTGGCCTGGAAGAATGCACGCGTACCCATCAATTCTTTCCCGGAGAGCTCCTTGCCGAGTTGGACAAGAAGTTCCGCGTGTGCTTCGCTGATTTCCAGGTCTTGGAGAACATGCTCTCAAGAGTCCTCGAGTCGGAGCGTAAGAGTCACGGCGCGATGGGCAAGATGAAGCGTGGATTGAGAAACCTGTTTGGAGATACAGATTTCAGCAAGATTTCCTTGGCACTTGAGCAAACGAGAGAGAGCCTGAGGGTCAGCGCTCTAATGTTCCAGTGGAGTCTAGGAGATGACAAGATCGAGAGCGGAGCTGGTATCGGCTACACTGGTCTTGCAGCTGCGTTGGATAGACTGGATCAGAAGAGATCAAGCACTCGCTCAAGATCTGAGACGAATGGCTCGCACCATAACCTGCCTGCTCTCCGTCAACAAGAGCAGCCTCCGCTGCCTCCTATTCCTGCCTTGCAGTGGACCGAGCGTTCAACCTCCCTCCAGAATGATACCATGATGTCCTCCGACATTCGATCACCAATCAGCGATATGCGCCAGTGGAGCGCTACGGCCAGTTCTGTTCATTCTGGTGACCGCAATCACCACCAAGCCACCTTTGATCGCCTCAGTTCTTTCGACGAGACAATGTCGCACCATACCGGAAGCGACTCGGCTGTCAATGACGCTATCAACGAGGAACTTGCTGCCCTCGACTTGGGCTCAGACAAGGTCGTTCGGTTAAAGACTGACCCTTTCACCATGCCTCGATGGAATCCTCGTGCTAGCACAGGGAGCACGGATGGTGCCACATTGAAGAGTGCCCTCGCCTCCGCGATCCGTGCCAGGAACCACAAGCTCGTTGAGCAGCTCCTAGATAGAGGTGCTCCCGCCAACAGCCCTGATATTCACGCCCTTATCGAAGCTGTTAAAGTGCAGGATGTCGAAAGCGTTCGCCTGCTTCTCTTATTCGGAGCGGACCCTAACGAAACCGACCGAGAGGGTATGACTCCTCTGGCTCTTGCTGTTGAGAAGACACTGCTGGGCGCCGCCGTGACCCTGCTCAAGTACGGAGCGGACCCTAACATGAAGGCTGGCATGGATCAGGACAGCCCCGTCGCTCGTGCGATCCAGAGCAACAAAATCAGCCTTGCTCATTTACTGCTAATGTACGGTGGCGATGTCACCCAATTGAACTCGGAGGGCAACACAATGCTGATAAGCGCGGTCAACAAGAAGACGCCCCGCCAATTCATTGCCCTCCTCTTGGGATACGGGGCAAACCCTAATGAGAAGAGCCGAGAGGGAAAGACGGTGCTCTTCGAGGCCATTACAAGCGCTCGCGACGACATCGTCTCTTGTCTCCTGGAGAATAAGGCTAATCCCAACCTCCCAGGTCCCAAGCATATGCTGTGGCCTGCCACCTACCAGTCTCCTTGCCTCCAACTGTTGTTGAAACATGGCGCTGATTACAAAAAGACTCCTGGTATTATGGAGCTCGCAGCTAGTGTCAATAACATCGAGTCAGTTCGCATCCTGCTCAAGGCTGGGGTTGACCCCAATGCAAAGAAGGATGGAGTTTATACACCTCTCTGTACCGCTATCCGAGACAACCGTCCCGATATCTTCCACCTGCTTCTGAATAACGGTGCAGACCCCAACACACCAGCACTCGAATACCCCTGCTTCAAGTGCATTACACATAATCGGCTTCAATTCTTGCCGGCCTTGGTTGCAGCAGGCGGAAACTTGAACAACCCGAAGGGTATCTTGGAGACTGCTGTTGCTCAAAATTACATGGAAGCTGTTCTTTGGCTTTTGGACCAGGGCTTGGACCCCAATGAGCGAAACGCCAAGGGCCATTCACCCTTGACAACTGCCATTCGCGACAACCGTGTTGAGCTCGTCGACCTCTTGATCATGCGTGGCGCTGACCCCAACAAGCGCGGCGAGGACTGGCCAGTCTGCATGGCTGTCCGAAACCCACCTATCTTAAAGCGCATTCTCAACGTCCTCGCTGAGCCTCGCGCTTTCAAGGGTGTTATTGAGCGGGCCGTAGCTGCCGACCAGCTGGAGTCAGTCAAGCTGCTCCTTGCTGCCGGCGTTTCAGTTGAAGATAAGAATGGTGGTGTCTTCTCTCCTCTTACCACTGCTTTGCGCGAAAATCACCGAGACATTGTCAGATTTCTTGTTGACCCCAATGGCGGTGGTGCCGATGTCAATGCCCCTGGTGAACATCTGCCTGTTGTCAAAGCTCTTCGACGATTCCATGGCGAGGATTCGGTGATGCTTGAAGTGCTGTTGGATCATGGTGCTGACCCCAACAAGATGTACCGTGGATGGAACGGCATCTTCCAGGCCGTGGAGAATGGCGAGCTGGAGGTGCTCCAGATCTTGAAGGACAAGGGAGGAGGCTTTGACCTCGACGCCAAGGACGAGATGGGCCGCACCGCCATTGAGATGGCAAGCCAGCGAGGATGGGATGAGGGAGTGCAGATACTCCGCGAGGGACGACGGAAGCAGTAGACATACTGCAAGGTTTATACACGAAAGGATCAAACGAGATGAAGAAGAGGTCTATATACCCAACTAATGAGACTTCTCATGTAATAGTGTTGATGTAATAACATTGGAGGAGCACACACCAATCATTTGTCAATGTCAATGGAGACATGATATTTTCCCTTTTTGTCAGATTATCTACTCTACGTTTGGTTCCATAGCTTCGCTTTGTGGTATATATTTTCGTCATACCCGATGAGAAATTGGTCTGCGGGCAGAAGTTTACACTCTCAATACACAAGTTAAATGAGCAGAAGTTTTCAGCCAGTTTCGTTGCCCCTATCGCTTTTAGTTTATTCATTTCCCTTAAGAGATCTTGATTATTCTCTTACTCTTTTGATCAAGTTTCAAGTGACTTGTAGAAGAATGTGACGTCTTTGAATTCCCCCGACGGACTGAGCCCATATTTTGGTATTCTGCCAACCTCAGTGTACCCGAGTTTGCTGAAGACAGACTCGGCCAGGCTGCCAGACTCTGTATCCAAGGTCTGGAGGTTTCCGCTGCAATTAGCCATGCACCCACTCACTGTACGCAGTCGGATTCCGGGCGGCGGGCAGCAGGGTAAACAAGGAAAGATTCACTTACAAGCATGGTTCTCCCTCGCTTGACGGCCTCCCTCTCCAGGGCGTCGACCAGGGCGGTGGCGCCGCCGCGGGCGCGGTACGAAGGGTGGACGAGCAGCTTCTCGACGACGGCGCGGAAGGAGCTGGTCTCGGAGGGCGGCATGTCCAGCATGACGATGCCCACGAGGTTGGTGCCCTTGGGGACGGCGAGGTGGTGGTCCAGCAGGCCGTTGGCGGGGTCGGTGCTGTCGTCGGCGCGGACGAGGAGGAGGAGCAGGCGGGTGCCGGCGGACACCTCGGCGATGCGGTCCTTCCAGTAGGCGAGGAGCTTCTCGTGGGAGAGCGGGGGGATGAAGCCGGCGATGGTACGGTCGTGGGTGATGCAGGAGGCGTGGATGGCGGCGAGGTAGGGGATGAGCGGGGTGTGCTGGCCTGGGGTGAAGAGGATGACGGAGGAAGAGGGGGAGGAGGAGGAGGCCATGGTTTAAGGATCGTGAGGAGGCGGGGAGGATGGTTGTTTGAGTTGCATGGGGGCGATGATGGGAGGTTGTCTTGTCGTTGGGTGTTGTATGGGATGGACGGTGTGTGTCCGCTTGTATTACTGGGCGCGGTGATGGTGTGCAAACTACTGAAGAGGGACTTGACCTGGGGACAATTCCTCTCTAGGATTTTGTCTCTTGCTTTCTCTTTTCTTATAGGAGGTTAAAAAATGAATGAAGAGAGAAAAGGAAATAATTTTAATAAGTGAAAGAGCGCGAGGTGTTGGAGTGGAGTTGGAAGTGTGAGTGGTAGCGAAATGTTAGCACTTGGGAGGCATTTGCGCCTAAAAAGGCGATGAAGATCAGGCTGTTGTAGCTCCGGAAACCCAGATAGATGTGCGACTGTCTGCTTCCGAGAGTAAGTGAACATGGTTCTAAAAGGAGGCAGATAAAAATCATTTCGAAAAATGTAAATGATTGCCGCTGATTGTTCCACCATGGATATTTCATTTGCGCTCTGATCAGGCTGGCCTTGGTTCAATTCACAGCAGAGATCTGCCTGACTGGCGTTTTGAAGTGAGTGAGACGGACACCAAAGTTCTACTCTACATGACCGGTATCAGTGCATTGGGTCTGGTTTACAAAATGTTGCGCTAGGAATACAGACATTAACTTGAGTTTAAATGAAATGAGCCATCCTGGAGCTCTCAATTGCTTGAAGATACCCCGCCATGGCTCACATACGTCTGTCAGCGATTTTTTACTGTCATCGCATGAATTGATGGGAGGACACCAAATACCCCGGGTGTAATTTGAACCATTGATAACTACAGAGAAAATGAGTCATCATCAGCTGGCTTCCAGTCAGTGTGATCTAGGTGATTGACTGTTTTGTAGGACCAACGTAACCCAATTGCTGCTGGCGTGGGCATGTTGATACCATGCTGCATTGCTTCACTCGTCTCCCAATTGGCGATGGGCCTGTAATAAGGCTAAAGGAATGGCAATGTAAGCCGTGTAATGCCGGGAACTGCTGTCATCAACCATCCATGCATAGACGCCCATGAACTTTGGTCATAGCAGGTGGCACAAGCAGCTGCTCGAGCAAGACAGACGAATCCGCCCCCACTTCTGGCTCGTCTCATCTCAGCTCACATCTCTCGTTTCGGCGCGACCGCTGCTGCGTCTTCCACCAACAGCAGAGAACATCAATTCTCGGTTTCCTCTTGCTCGCAATCAATCCAATATCCCTTTCCCGACTCATCCGGCTTCTCGGGTGACCTGTCAGGCATTTCTGCAGTAGGAAGACGAGGACAGGAGTGAGCGGCTCAGTGAAGATCAGGGCACACGACACACTTGACACTACACGTCAACAACATGGAGTCGATTTTTAAGAAGGTCGAAGAAGGGGTTGACGCTGTTTTCGGCAATGAGAAACACTCTCATTCCCACTTCGGCTACGAGTGCGAGCACCTTCATCCGGACGAGGAGACTGTCAATCGCTATCACTCTTTTGCCCCTCCCTCAAGCGGGAACGCAAAGTGGTATGTCGATGGATGCTCATACTTCTGGGCTGTCTCGGAAGCTCTCGAACGCAAGTAGATCCTCTCTAAGCTAAGGCTCTATCCAAAACTGACCATATCCGCCCGCTTCTTAGGAGCCCAGGAGGAGATCTTGATTCTGGACTGGTGGTTGAGCCCCGAGCTGTATTTACGCCGCCCGCCATCCCTGAACGAGAAGTATCGTCTTGACAACATGCTCAAGGCTGCCGCCGAGCGTGGGGTGAAGGTCAATGTCATCGTTTACAGGGAGGTCGAGGCTGCTCTCACCTGTAACTCTCAAGTACGAGGCCACTCTAACCCGGGTCTAACCCAGCAACTGGTACCAGGCCTCACAACGCTCATACTCTGTTATTGTTCATTTAGCATACCAGAAAGGCACTGGAAGCCTTGCACCCGAATATCTCCGTCTTCCGACACCCAGACCACACGCCTACCGGCTATGATCTCGTCTCTGAGCTGGGGTCTAGTCTTGCCCACCTCACCAACTTTGATCTCGCCAAGGCATCAGATGAGGCTTTGAAGGCCCTTTATGGAACTGCTGATGGCATGGTTCTATTCTGGGCCCATCATGAGAAACTCATCGTTGTAGATCGCAAACTGTCGTTCATGGGCGGCCTCGACCTTTGTAAATAGCCCCCTATCTCCGTCATTCTTCAGAGTATCGGTATCTAACACTACTTCTAGGTTTCGGACGCTGGGATACTAGTTGTGAGACTCTCTTGGCACTGACGCAAAGTTCATTGGGTTTACTAAATCTGTGATGTAGCTCACCCTATTGCCGATGCTCATCCCGGAAACTTGGATGCTATCGTGTTTCCTGGACAGGACTACAATAATGCCCGAGTGTATGATTTCCATGATGTCGGAAACTGGAACCAGAACAAACGTAAGATTGATATCTTGATACCCTGTCTTTTCCCCGGCTAATCACAGTTTACCGCCACCAGTTGACCGCACTAAGAGCTCAAGAATGGGATGGTCAGACGTTGCTCTGAGTATGACCGGTCCCATCGTGGACAGTCTTGTGGCTCACTTCGCCGACAGATGGTATGTGAGACCGGGCAGGCTGGATAGCCTTGATGTGAGGAGTCTAGCTATACTTACGCATCATACAGGAACTTCATCTGGCAGGAAAAGTATAAATCTAAAAACGAGGGAAAATACACTGTTCTCACTGTTAGGGGCATTAATCAAGAGGACGACTCTACCCTCGATCACCTCACCAATAAGTTCAACCGTGGCATGAGTAGACTGATGCACTTTGGAAGCGACGACAACGACGATGAGAGTCGCCCTTCACGCGGTCCTGACGGCCAGGCCACCAAAATTCAGCTCACTCGAAGGTACGTAAACAGAGATTGCAAAGAAATCCGCAAGCCTTGTGAGAGTCGTGGAAAATGCGACTAACTCACGTCAACAGCTCCTGCAAGTGGTCCTCCGGACACAAGGTTGAGCACTCGATCGCAAACGCCTACATCGAAGCCATCACCAACGCCGAGCATTTCGTATACATCGAGAACCAGGTATTTCAAACCTCTAGACCCTACCAACAAACCACTCTACTCACAACGAGCAAAAACAGTTCTTCATCACAGCAACCTGTGACAAGCAGCTCCCCGTAGCCAATAAGATCGGCGCCGCCATGGTTGACCGCATCATCCGGGCCAACGAGGAGGGCAAGCCGTTCAGGATCTGGGTCGTCATGCCCGCCGTGCCGGCCTTCGCGGGGGACCTCGAGTCCGAGGGCGCGCTGGGGACCCGCGCCATCATGGAGTTCCAGTACTTCTCCATCAGCCGGGGCGGCAACAGCATCTTCGAGAAGCTGCGCGAGGCGGGCATCAACCCGGGCGACTACATCGGCTTCTACAACCTGCGCAACTTTGACCGCATCAACACCTCCAGGACCATGCACGAGGCCGAGGAGCGCGCCGGCGTGGCGTACGAGGACGCACGCAAAGGTCACGACGGGTACGTGGGCGGCGGGTACGGCGAGGGCAACGAGGGCGAGCACGCGGACGAGTACAGAAGGTACCAGCGCGAGGCCGCCGCCGTCGGGGACACGACCCTCGACACCATCAGCTCCTGCTACATGGACAGCGGCGCGCGCGTCTCGGAGCTGCGCTGGGACGGGAACCCCGAGGACGAGATCGGCGCCTTCGTCAGCGAGGAGCTCTACGTCCACAGCAAGCTCCTCATCGCCGACGACCGCCTCGTCATCTGCGGCTCCGCCAACCTGAACGACCGCTCCCAGCTGGGCACGCACGACTCCGAGATCGCCGTCGTCATCGAGGATCCCACCCCCGTCGAGAGCCAGATGGCCGGGCAGCGCTTCACCGCCTCCGCCTTCGCCGCCTCCCTGCGCAGGCACATCTTCCGCAAGCACCTCGGCCTCCTCCCCGACCAGCGCTGGGACCGCCCGGACGACAACTGGCGGCCCGTCGATTCGGCGCCCAACCATTATGATTGGGGTTCCATAAGCGACAAGCTCGTCCAGGATCCCCTCCACCCCAACTTCCAGCGCCTGTGGGCAGGCACCGCAAAGGTCAACACCGAGACCTTCAGCAGGGCCTTCCACCCGGTTCCCAACGACCACGTGCGCACGTGGGAGGACTACAAGGAGTTCTTCACGAAGCACTTCATCATCCCCGGCGTCGACAAGGAGGGCGACGAGAAAGCGAGCAAGGAGGGCAAGGTCGAGTACGGCCACATCGTGCAGGAGGAGTTCCCGGGCGGCGTGCAGGAGGTCAAGGAGTGGCTCGATCAGATCCGCGGGACTCTGGTGGAGATGCCACTCGACTTCCTGGTCGACGTCGATGACATCGCCAAGGAAGGGTTGGCGCTGAACAGCTTGACGGAGGAGTTGTACACCTGATGAAGTTCATCATATGGCCTTGCTTCCGGCGCAACGAGGAATCGTCCTGGTCAAGCCTCCAACTATTTAGTCACCATGTTGATGGCATCTCGAGTTTCGATCCTGAATATTGAGTTTCTTTTAGTCGTTATGATTGGATAGCAGGATAAACGCAGCAACTATCGAAACAGGTCTTTACAAAACAAGTGCTTCTTTCTGTCCTATCTCTAATAACGTGTAATAAAAAAAAGTAACGTTGCGCATCTCACAAGATAACCCATGCAGAATCTCCAAGAGTAACCCACTCTTGGGCCAGACTAAAAATAGTATGCCAAAAAAAAACAAGAACTTGCCTTTTACACGGGAGTGTATTGTATTATACATATGGAAAATACTCCGATCCCCTTGCCCAAACCCTGCAACTCCAGATATGCCTTCGGATGTCCTCAAATGCTGTGGATGGAGACGAAGCGCAGAATATAAGCTCCAAATCCAATGCAAGTACATCGCATCAAGCGACGGGGAGCTTTCCAGATGCATCATGTTGCGTGTCATGGTGGTGGGCGTCGTTACCAAGGTCTGGCTTTTGATCCCCTCAGGGATCCGTTGATTCCCTTTCTCGCTTTTGAAAGAACAAACATAAAGGCCGTCAAAGACAAAAAAATCCGGTTCGGAGCCTCGAGTCTTGTTCAAGGATCAATCCGCTTTGGCATATCCGTTGTGACCCAGAATGCCATCCTTGAAAGATCCCTTGGGTTCGTCGAGCTTGAAGTATCCAGCCCTACGACGGAAGCGGCCCTTGAAAATGGTGAAGAGGCCAAAGAGAACACCAACGACACATCCTGAGCTTAGGTATGGATGCTCAACAAACGTGACGCGAATATCAAGAAGCGCCTTTTCGAAGATGGAGACAGCCAGCTTGGGCTTGATCACATTCCGCCCGTAGATGATCTTGTCGAGGGACTCTGAGATGGCAGTACGGCTGACCATGATGTAGTTCCCAGTAACAGTGTTGTCCCAGTATTGGCGGCTCTGTAATCACGTTAGTTTAGTTCTCCATTGCTCATGGCGCTCAATCATCATTCGAGCATTGGGCACACTTACATCCTGGTCATTAATGATGACACGGTCACCGAGAGTAGAATCAATACCGAAAGTAGTGCGGATCCATCTCTGCCAGAAGACGCCATCAACCCAAGCAAATGCGACTTCCTTCTTCCCGGAGTTGTTCATATCGATGCGAATCGTTTTGGCGGACCTCAGAGCGCGCTCATCATCGCGATCCTCAGCTTCTTCAATTCTCATCTGCTTGGCATCTCGGAGCTTCTTCCTCTCAAGTTGGAATTCTTGGATCTGTCGATCCATCCACTCGTTGGCAGCGCTCTTTAGTTCTCTGAGAGCACCTTGGAATCCATCTGCGTTCTTGCGGTTCAAGATACCTAAAACGACAATCTTGCCGTCCATGATCTGGCGAGCATTCATGGCAGTAAGTTCAGGAACAAGAGGAAGCCAGACAGACTTCATCCAGTCGAGAACACGGGGCACGTCTCTCATCTCATTGGGCGTCAAAGGTGTGAAGTACGTTGGGCGGCCTTCTCGAGACACCAGCAACCTGGGCCAGGTACTAATCTTGAATCTCTTGTAAAGGGCAGGATCTTGAGTCTTGACCAACTTGGCATGGCCAATGAGGCTGAGAGGAATGCGCTCCAAGGCCACGAGATCCTCAGTCGTTGTCGCGTGATCGTAGAAGTAGACGAAGACGACTTCCTCCTTCTTTTCGAGGGCCTCGAATTCTTCGGCAGTTACGTCGGGTACACCTCCAGCAAGATCAATAGCGTTGTCAGCGTATTGGACAAAGTCACCCAAGCCTCGGAGACCTTGGTACTCGGATCGCTCGCCGCCCTTGAAGAACAGAATGGTAGGGTAAGCCCGAGCCTTTACGTCCTTGCACAATCCTCTCTCGACATCGCAGTTGACTTCTCCGATGTTGAGCTTGCCTTGCATACTCTTGGCGAGCGAGTTCCAAGTTGGGGCCAGTGCTTGGCAGTGGTGGCACCAGGGGGCGTAGAACTTGACGAACCAAGGGTCCTGAGTCATGGTTACTAGTCTCTGGAAACTCTCTGCGGTAAGAGGGACTGAGGCCCCATTTTCGTTGGGGGGGTTCAAAGGCTTCTTGGGCTTCCTGATATTGAACACCTCAGCGGCAGTCACTCCTTTCCACTTTTGAGGCCACTCCCGCCCAGTAGATTTAGTCTCGTCGGACACCTTCTTGGGCTTCTCACTCAGAATATCGTCCAGTGTATCGGAAAGGCTTTCCAAGTGCTCGTCTGAAAGACTCTCCATATCGTCCTTGTGAATCACGCTGGTATCATGTTCCTTGGAGTCTTCCTCGGTAGAATCGTCGTCCTCCGTGATGGAAGTCTTGCTAGAGCCCTTGGTAGTGGAGTCTTCCTCGTCTTCCTTTGAAGGTGCCCTCTTTGGGAACTCCTTGTCACCGGGCTCAGGGAGTTCGACAGTGGTAGGACGAGATCCAGGCTTAGCCTCCTCCAAGGCCTTCTCGACCAACTCGCTGATGACCCCTATTTGCTTGGCACCTCGAATACGAGTGAACTCCTTGCCATTCTCAAATATGATTGTCTGGGGGTAGGTGTTGACATCATGGCTAAGGCAGAGGTCCTGGTAGGCAATACAATTGAGCATGGCAAATCTGAGATCGTAGTACTTGGTAAAGCTAGAACTGCCGGCAGCTTTTGGTTTCGAGGTGTAGTAGTATTCGTAGAGGGTCTGGAAGGTTGGGGCGAAATCGATACAGTGAGGGCAGTAAGGGCTGGCCATGTGTTAGTTGGAAACGAGAGATTGGAGGAAACCATGCCCATCTTACCTATAATGCTTGATGACAAGATATTTGCTTTTCGCAATCTCGTCCTTGTAGTTGGATGGATCCAATTCCAACATGGGAGGGACAGTGACCCCATTGAACACTGTTGGTACCAGTGGCTTCTCCTCCTCCCAATCATCTGATTCTCTGGTGACTAACGTTTCGCCCGATGCCTTCGCCAGGGCGGATAGGCCCATAAGGAGGGCGAATGGTGACAGCCTCATGATGGGGGATCAAATCTGTCGCAATGCGATGGCCTACAGTTGATGAAGGAAGCCTAGAAAGATGGTGCAAAAAATAGGGGTCGCCGGAGACCCTAAAAGCGCAATATCAATGATACAATGCGGTGCGTGTAGACATGCGAGCGTTGAAACGTGCTCCCCGTAGTCGAACAAGGTCTGTGCAGAAAGGGTTTTAGGGCGAGCCGGGATAGTGTCGCAGGTGAAGCAAGTAAGAATGGAAGCGGTCGGCGACAGAAGAGCGAGGGAATCGAAGGTGACCAAAATACCAAATCGTCGTGACGGGATGCGGAGGCGCAACGGTTGGCGAAGCGTCGGGTCAGGAGAACAGATAACGCGAATGCAAGGGCAGAGGCGATTAGATGGACAACGGTCGCTCCAAATTGACTTTGGTGGGAACGATGCGCTAATCAGCCAATCGATCGGGGTCTGAGGGGCGAGGCCACGACAGAAGCGCCGGCTGGGAGTTGAAGCGAAGCAAGAGGAGGGCGAGAAGCGGCTCGATCCTGGCACCAAATCACCAGCAGAAGGACACCTTCAGGAGTTTGGTCTTACTACAAACCAGCAAACAATCTGGTGGAGTGGCAGGGACAAGCCAGATTTGGGGGTGGTACTTGGGCCTGTTAGCCAGTCGCAGGCGATGCCCCTAGTTCAGTAGCTGGATCCAAGTAGCCTCACAATCTGCCACGCACCAACGCGCTTACTTCTTCAGGCGGGACACCCCTAATTCTAAGAATAACTTTGCTGGCACGAAACCAAAGACCCTGTGCAAGGGGTTCTAAGAGGATGCCCAATAAAATCTACAAGTAAACTAACGGATAGAGATTAGAGAGGTAAATGCTCACACCCATTATTTGATTCGACCGAAAGCCATACAAGGTTTCTGTTACTGCCTATGGAATGAATAATATTGATACTATTCTGGTGGCAGTCGCTGCCTGGCCGGTACCACTTTCCCAGTGAAGGGCGGCGTCAGCGCCAGACGAATCAAGCGTGCATCCTCCATCACACGGTCTAAGTAAAGTAAACAACTCCAAGATCGCATTTCGGATAGGCAAAATCCAAGGGACCTGATATCAACACAATTTTTTGTCCTACCCGCCTTACCATTGTGCATCGCTTCCATTGCAGGAGCATGGAACACTCACGAAAGCGCCCCCCGGAAGAAGATGCCCAAACTGCCATTGAAGGCCCCGAGTCGCTCTCACGCCCCATCAGCCCGCCACGCAAGAAAGCCCGCGCGCCTCCTCCCACCTTGCCTTCTCCATGGCATCTCACTTGGATTCGAGATCTCCCCGAAGATCTCAACAAGGATGCCGTGACATTGACAGATCTTCTAGGGGATCCTCTGATCTCAGAATGCTGGGAATTCAATTACCTTCATGACATCCCCTTCCTTATGGATGCTTTTGATAATGACACACGGCACATGGTTCAAGTCCATGTAATACATGGCTTTTGGAAACAGGAGGACCGGAATCGTCGGCTACTCACGGTACGCCCACCGATTTGCCCAGAGCCTCATGTAACCACCCGCTAATAGTCCACAGCATGATGCCTCCAGATACAGCAATGTACAGCTCCATGTAGCTCCGATGCCTGAGATGTTTGGGACGCATCATTGCAAAATGATGATCTTGTTTCGGCATGATGAGACTGCACAAGTCATTATCCACACAGCTAATCTGATACCTAAAGATTGGACCAACATGACCAATGCCGTGTGGAAGTCTCCAATCCTTTCCAAGCTTGATAACTCGGTGGAACATACCGATACCCCATCCAGCACCGCCGTTCTAGGAACCGGGGCCAGGTTCAAAAGAGACCTGCTGAACTATCTGAAGAAATACGACCAAAGAAGGACCACCCTACGGCCACTTGTCGATCATCTCGGGCAATACGATTTCTCTCCTGTTCGCGCTGCGTTGATTGCTAGTGTCCCGGGTACACACAAATTCAACGACAGCCAGCAGACCTTATGGGGTTGGCCAGCTTTGAAACAGCAACTTCAGTCAGTGCCTTGTGTTGAAGGCCCAGCAGACGTCGTCGTCCAAATCTCTTCCATCGCTACTCTTGGGCCTAAAGACGAATGGCTCAGAAAAGTTCTCTTCGATTCCCTCGCTCAGTCTCAAAATCTTAGAGTGAATCAGAGTCCAAATTTCAAAGTGGTGTTTCCGACAGCCGACGAGATTAGGAGGTCCATCGATGGGTACGCATCGGGAGCCTCTATTCACACCAAGACTCAATCAAAGCAGCAGGAGAAGCAGCTGCACTACCTCCGACCTCATTTCTATCACTGGGCGAACGATAGCGTAAATGGTCAAGGTATGTTGATTTCACCTCCCAGTAGTGAAGATCCAGAGATCGGAGTCCAACTAAGACGCAATAGCCCTGCCAGATGATGTGCCGACCCTAGATGGTGGACGCGCGCGGGCAGCACCTCACATCAAGACGTATATTCGATACAATTCAGACTCGATTGATTGGGCAATGTTAACATCGGCGAATCTCTCCAAGCAGGCATGGGGTGAGGCTTGCCGCCCAGGTTCAGGAGAAGTGCGCATCGCATCGTGGGAAATTGGCGTCTTGGTCTGGCCTGAATTGATCGAACAAGGCTCCAAAATGGTCCCAACCTTTAAGACCGATCTTCCCACATTGAGCGAGCTAGATAATGAGCAGACGCAGCCACTCGTCGGGATACGCGTCCCGTACAATCTGCCTCTACAAAAGTACGGCTCTCAAGAAGTTCCCTGGGTGGCAACTATGACACACAAAGAACCAGATCAACGGGGGCAAATCTGGGTGGTGGACGAATAACACAGCCAGCAATTGCTCCACTTGCTCTAGTCTCTCAGCTGTAACATGCAGCATCTCGATAGTCGGATATGATGTCTCAGAGAGCGGCCCTTTGTTCGAACACACGCATGCATGTCTCGCTGGGCCGACGAGATCACAGCCTCGAAGTTCCGAATAGGAGCATGTACTGGTCATGAGGCTGGAAGCCGATCGTGAACCTCTCCACAGATGTGTGACTCACGCCGTTCCGAACGCCGTGAATGGATCATTCAAGGATGGCCAAAGCAAGGATTGCCGGTTGCACAGATAACGCTAAACTTATAAGAGTTTTCGCGCCGTCCAACCTCGAGCGACGGATTGTCATCTAGTGTCGATTTCTCCAAATGCTAAAGTTCTTAACGGCCGCAATTAATTTAGATCCGGCTGCTTGATCAGCACCATCACCACTCCCGCTATTCGCTACTCTGCATCCCCGTGCCTGTATTTCTCCAATTGATTGATACTCTCGTCGCCTGGTCAGGTCCACTTTCGTGATCCCAGTGGAAAATACCCAGCCTTCGTGTCAGGAATTGCGGTCTGGCCATGGGTCGAGATCGATCTATTGGGGCGTCCAACCGCGATTTTCATTCTGCGCTTTCATCCTCATTCAGATCCTCGTCGCCGCTCGCAGAACAGTACCTCGCCCAGGACATCGCCGCCTGCTCTGACGACGACGTGGAAACAGTCCATGAAGACGAAGTGTCCGAGGTAGACCACCATGGCAATGCTGGTCATTTCACATACCGGCGCCCCAGCGGCGTCACTTATGGCGGCTTCCGCCCAGTCCTCAACCCCCAGGCCGCAGAGGATCCCGGCCTGAGCCCTCTGGAGAGGAAGCAGTCTCGTGATGCAGAGCGAAGTCTGCTTAGGGATAATCACATTCTGCCTCCCAAGCATGGCGAGAGAAAGCACGAGGGTCTCGCCTCCCGCGCATACCACCGCCTGTTCAGCACCAAGGTGCCCTCCCACGATGAGGATGCTCCACGGATCGTCGTGGACTCTCCCGACGAGCAGTCTCCCCTCCTTGGGGGCTCGGCGAGAGCTGCAGCTCCTCCACCTGACAGCCCTGAAGAAGACATATGTGAAGATGTCGAGGATCAATGGACACAGGCAGTTGCTGAAGGGCGTATCCGCACCACTTGGCAACGGGAAGCCAAGACCCTCTCACAGTATGCTGCGCCTCTAATGGCCACCTTTTTCCTGCAGTACTCTATCAACGCAGCGAGCATCTTTGCTGTCGGACGCATAGGGAGCATTGAGCTTGGCGCCGTGTCCTGTAAGTCGAAACCACCCAAGCAGTGATGAAACAGCCCTTCCATCCATCCATCCATTGCTAACGATCTCGTCAAACCAAACAGTAGCGAACATGACAGCCGCCATCACATGTCTGGCTCCCTTTCAAGGACTAGCAACCAGTCTCGACACCCTGTGTGCTCAAGCCTACGGCTCGGGACACAAGCACCTCGTGGGACTTCAATGCCAGCGCATGGTATGCTTCCTCTTCACACTCACTCCCCCCGTTGCTGTTGTCTGGTATTTCTCCGAGAACATCCTCAGCCTCATACTCCCAGAGCCCGAATCTGCTCGGCTCGCCGGCTTGTACCTAAAAGTGATGATCTTTGGCGTGCCTGGGATAGTATTATTCGAGTGCGGCAAGCGCTTCACCCAAGCCCAGGGCATATTCCACGCGACCACGTATGTTCTGTTCATTGTAGCACCTCTCAACGTCTTCATCTGCTGGCTCCTTGTCTGGAAGCTCGAGTATGGATTCATAGGCGCCCCCATCTCCGTCGTAATCACCGAGAACTTGCTGCCCCTTCTCCTCTTCCTCTTTGTGCGATTTGTCGACGGGTCCCAGTGCTGGGGAGGGTTCAGCAAGAGGGCGTTCTCCAACTGGTGGGTCATGATTCGCCTCGCTCTGCCTGGTATGATCATGGTCGAGGCCGAGTGGCTGGCCTTTGAGATCATGACGTTGCTGGCGAGTCGTTTTGGCTCCAATGTGCTCGCGGCCCAGAGCATCCTGTCCACGCTGGCCTCCATTTCGTACCAAATCCCCTTCCCGGTGTCCATCGCTGCATCCACCCGGATCGCCAATTTGATCGGTGCCGGTCTCGTTGATGCCGCGAAAACTGCCTCCAAAGTCGTAAGTT